GAGGACTGATGAGCAGGGAAGATCATGCCATAATGCTGTGAGGATTGGTGAAGTCTATGACACCCCCTGAAAGACAAGACAGGCAGATTATAGGCACAGCAGCACTGGGGTGTGGGAGGTAGGCTGTGCTCCTGACTTTCCTTATTTTGATTCCCAGAATAATATATCCTGCTTCTAAGATGGGATTGTAAGCATACCTTTGTGCAGGTACTATGGATGGATATTTTGGCTGCATAACTTACGAGCCATATGAGTGGCTGAAGTCACTTGATGTATTCAGCCTGAGAAGAGGGATGAAGGGGAGATCTCATCACTGTGTACAACTCCTTCACAAGGGGCAGTGGAAGGACAGGCACTGATCTCTTCTCTCTGGCAACCTGTGACAGGACCCAAGAGAATGGCCTATAGTCTTGTCAGGGTAAATTGAGGTTAGATACTAGAAAAAGCCATTTTTCACCCAGAGGGTGTTCGGGCACTGGAACAGTTCCCCAGGGAAGTGGTCACAGCACAAAGCCTGACAGAGTTCAAGAACTGTTTTGACAATGGTCTCAGGCACAGGGTGTGATTCTTGGGGATATCTTCTGCAGGGCCAAGAGTTAGACTTGATGATCCTTGTGGATCCCTTCCAACGCTGAATATTCTGTGATTCTGTGAAACTTCCTGTATATGTGCAGAGGAAGAACAGTGAAACAGGAAACTGCAGGATCCTCTGCCCTTTCACCTCCTCTCCCATACCCAGCAGGGCTGGGTAATTCCTGCTCCTCCTCTGCATTCTTGTTGGGTTCAGCCCTCTGGCGATCTCATTTCTTTCACACCAGGTGCAGCTTGCTATAATTTTGCTATCAAACCTCTAATGTAACTGTGACTAATTTCTTGTCTTCTGGCACTTTGTGCCGCTGCAAGTAGATGACATGAATAATGACTCAGTGTGATGTGGGAGAGCAGAATCGTGGCAGGGAATGAAATAAACCCCAAAATGCCTCTTTCAGTCATTTACAATTTCTTTCTGAGCTCATTTCCCTTTACATTTATAATTTCCCCCTTTCAATTCTTAATTCTTTGTCCCCATCTTTTTCCTTTCACATACACTGTTAAGTGTTTCCTCCTTATGAGCCTTTCCAGCCCAAGTATTTGTTTTTACCATAAAGGCCAATCTAGCCTGTTTTTTTGTTTTTTACAGAAGTGAAGTGGCTAATATGTGCATGGGGTAGTATTTGAACAAAGAAAGCAAATAATGACACTTTACACTTTCTAGTGATATCTCATTCCCAAGCCAACGTAGTATGTCTGCGTAGAATTGTACATGACTACATTTTCTTCCATTAATATGAGCATTTTTTTGAGTCTAAGTAAGCTTTTGGAATTCAGTGTGCTCTAGGCTGCTGTGTAGGGACCTGTTTGCTGTCAGCCCAAAAAACAAAGCATGGTGGTGGGCAACATCTATTTCCATTCTTCCCCATCCTTACCTCAAGCCTCTTCTTCCTGAAGTTGGGGTCTGCCACAGTGGCTAAAAGGCTGGTCTTGACACCTAAGCTCCCCCTTCCTCCCCCTATGCACAAACCCACAGTCTGCAGTCTGCTTAAGTCCAATCAGCAGCAGAGAGAGTGCAAGAGAGGGAGGAAAAGCAGGTGTTTTCAATTGCTCTTTCTAGCTACTTGGAGCACAGCTGTTGGCCAAGGGGCTTACTGTTCTGCAAATCATCTGCTACAGAGGTATGTGCCCTAGTACTAGAAGATATAAGTCTTCCAAGTATGCATCATGCCGGCTCAGAGTGGAGGAGGTGACCCCACTCAGAGCAGACAGCACAGTGTGATAGCCAGCATTGCTTACCACTGTCCTTGTCTCTACCTACAGCTTAGGTGTAACCAGCACTTCTTATACTTTTGTAGGCTGTGGCAAAACTAACAGGCCAAGAATTAAAGGCTTATGCTAAAGCTGGAGCTGTGGCTGATGAAGTACTCTCATCCATCAGAACAGTGGCTGCTTTTGGTGGGGAGAAGAAAGAAGTTGAAAGGTTTGTTTGAACAAACTGTAAGGTCTCTGATTTCTTTTTCTTGAAGCAATGTCATGATGTAATGCACTTCAGATTCACAGCAATTAATCTCTGTATTCTACAGCAATGCCTACCTGTTAGCTTTGGGACTTATATGCATGTATGTTTCAGAAAATTGCATTTCAAATAACTTATGCAAAACTAGTTTCATAGTTCAGACAATCAGTGAGATAAAACATCAACCAATCTCTCTTCGTTCTTACTGGTAGGAACATACTGTCAATTTTTTCCCTAAACGTTGTCTGATATATCACTTTTGCAGCACATCTGAAAACTTTGGGTACTTTCAAGATAAGTAAAAGAACTAGTTTATGCAAGACATAATGATTTGATGATGTTAAACTGTAGATTTCTTTTAAATCCTGTGAAAACAAAACACAGCTGTAGGATGTACTCTGAAATGTTGGTCAAATTCTCAAATCCTGTGTCACTCTGCTAAAACTCCAAACCCCATTGTATGATATCTGCAGTGAGTGTGGCTTTTCCTGTGTTTATTATACTAGAATGTACAAAGATTTCATAATCTGGGCGCATTGCTGGTTTCAGCAGTGATCTTTCACTTCAGGGTGATTCTGTATCAACCTTATGTGGACACTGCCATCATCAAAGATGCCTAATTTTGTTGGTCTTTACTTGTTTTGAAATTTCTATGAGATTAATTTAATACCCTTTTTTTCCTCTCTCTTTCTACAGATATGATAAGAATCTGGTGTTTGCTCAGCACTGGGGAATTAGAAAAGGAATAATAATGGGATTATTCACTGGTTACATGTGGCTTATAATTTTCCTGTGTTATGCATTAGCCTTTTGGTACGGCTCTAAACTTGTCCTTGAAGATGAAGAGTATTCACCTGGCACTCTTCTGCAGGTACCCATTTTAGCTTGCTGCAACTTTCCTGGACCATTCTTTGGAATAATTCTGGAACACATATTTGTATCAACCACAACAAAGCAACAAAATGGACCAAAAGCCTACACCAAAGACATTATCCAAACATTTATAATCTGTTCTGCCAAACCTCCTCTGTAACTGAAAAACTAAGGGGAAAGGAAGCAGAGTAAATTCTAGGGAAAAACAAAGGTTTAAAAAGTGCACACCCTGGTATGGCAGCATTGAGAAGAATAAGCTATACCTACAATACAATGCAGTTCACTCCTTGTTGTAGGAAAAGACAGTGGATGTATTTGTCTCTATGTGGTATATAAGTGGTAAATAAGCCTTTACCTCTTTGTGTTTGCCATCTTTCAGTGTCCTGACCCTTGAAGCCCCGGTCTCTTATCAGAACTGCCAGCCTTTTCAATCTTAGACAGTTCCTGTCTACATTTAAGAACCTTGATAAAAACCCCTTCATAGGAAATAAAGCATTGGCAGCTTTTAGGAAATTTTGAACAAATGCTTTTGGTATTTTGGTTGATATACTGCAGAGTCACTTGCTTCTCATCTGCAAGGCCGGACACCAAGGCTGAATTCTTGGACTGAAGTTTCCTCTGATAGTCAATATTCTGTCCAGGTGCCTTTATTGTCTGTTGGTCCTTCCAGGAAGAGTGGATGCTGTGGCTCATTTTCACTCACATCATTCTAGGCTTAGGCAAAAAGGGGATGGTGGAGCTTTCAGAAGAGGGTCACTAGGGAGTAACTCTTCCTTTTGGTTCTTACAAAAGGACTTGAAACAGTGAGCACATTGGGTGTGTGCTACCTTCAGAAACAGTCCACCTGCACTGATAGAATAATCTCACCTCAAGAAGTGGCTTATCCAGTGTTGGTAGCAACCTTTACAGTTCATATCTCTGTGTGACACTCTCTGTAGCTGTCTTACCACCCTCCAAGATGAGACAGGAACTGCAATATACAAAGGTTGTAATACAGTTTTTTAAGCTTCTTTCTCTTTTTTGAATTGTTGTAAGCTCTCATCTGCTTACTGATAAAAGACATCCCCAAAATAATCTGTTTCCCACCAATGGTCTGTTCCAGCCCTTGTTCCAAGAAACAGTCAAATTGAGGCAGCTTAAAAATACATCAGTGGCATCTCAGTAAATACCTGGGTGCACACATTTTTAGGCCAGGGAAAATATGAGATAAGTTGATTTACTTCAGCCTCAAGCAGAGTTGTGAAAGATAGTGAAAATATCTTCTAAAATGCATTTGTTTGTTTTGTTTTTTGGCTAATAATGCTCATATAGTGAATCCCTGCAGTTCAGCAGATGCACAAGAAGTCATTAAGCCATTGTAGTTTGGTTTGCTTGTCTAAGCTGTAAACTATAATAAAAATGTGATGTCATATTTTTTAAAATTCTTTTCCCACTTCTTCAGGTATTCTTTGGTGTTTTAGTAGGAGCATTAAATCTTGGCCAGGCATCTCCCTGTCTGGAAGCCTTTGCCACTGGACGTGGGGCTGCAGCAAATATTTTCGAGACAATAGATAAAGTAAGTAAAGCATTTCTAAGCTGTGTTACTTTTTAGTGGAAAAATAGTTCAATAAGCCTCAAACAGTAGTAGGTATAGGTACTGTGTAAATGAGGAAAAATTAGTCCAATTAAAGAGAAATTGACTGTGCAGTAGAAGGGTCTAGCAGCATGCACATGAGCTCAAAGAACATGTTGAACAGATTTTTTAAGTGACCTGTTTCTGAATAATGAAATTTTACCCCAGCTACTGCTGTTCCTTATTCCCATTTCTCTCTACATACAATTACTTATCAGTGCTGGCCCATGGGAAGTGTACTGCCAGGCAGTAATAGTCACTTTGCAACCAAACTTGCAGCAAGCATCTAGCTCCAGGTGGAATCAAAAGGTATGGCTCTATTGGCACTAGTGGCAAAGGTGGCCTCTGTCACCAGTCCCAGAGCTACCCTGAGTTGAAATGGGACCAAACAGGCACAGGCACTGGTCATGCAGCAGTCATAAATGTTAATCACAATATCATCTAGACAGACAGATATTTGAAATAAGGTTGTGTGAGAGAGCCTAAGAGCCCAGTGGCATTTATTGATGATGATTCTCTTCTATACCTTTGTAAATTTAGTTATTGGAAGAGTACTGTTGATTTCTTAACAGTGCATAGTATCCCTGTTCCCTGACAAGCTTTATTGTGTTAAAAGCTCTGTAAGCACATTAAAATGCTGCTTGTCTTTTACAGAGCACAAAAGAGTATATAAAGAAGACTAGAGAGGCTGTGGAAATGCTAAAAGAACTTTTAGTGACATCCCATAATAACAATAAAATATATGCCATATAAATACACTTCATAAACCCTAAGATAAACTGTAAAAGAGATGAACTAGGGAAGTGTTTTTCAGACAAAAATTTTAAAAGTGTAAAAGAGTTGCAACAGTAAGGATTAATCACAAAATTCAAGATAAGGCTGAGTCAGATAACCTTAGGGTAAAAAAAGGAAACCAAAGTGAGATTTCATCTGTCTAGAGAAAGGATGACAAAATTAGATCCATCTGCTTGCCACATTTATAGATTTGTGATTAGACAGTAACAGCACAGCTCTGCCCTGATAGGGATTTTTTTCTGGCACTAAACTTATCATCATGCTGAGGTTCCTATTTGCAGGATCAGTAAAGCTTTTCTTCATAGCTTAGTATCTGAATTTAAGTAAGGTATATTCCTAAAGAGGATCAAATATTCTAGCTGTTCTCATCATTTTAGAATATACACATTTCTTGTACTAACATTCCCTTCAATCTGTTAGGCCTTATAAAAAATCATGCATGTTTCAATTATCAAATATTAGTGTTGCTATAGTTTTAATTCATTCTCCATATTCCATGCTTCAGGAATCTATCCTTAGAAAACTTTATTTCTTTGTGTTTCCTCAAATTTCTCTTAGTTATCTGCTCATGTCTAGCAGTCCACAGTACCCAAGACCTGGACAAAGAGTATGTGAGACCCAAAGCACTTCATGGGAAAACTTCACATCAGTATTTCAGCTCTTATGGCTGGGTGGGCAAGGATGGATGTTTGAAATGCAAAGTGGTTTGTCAGCAATGAATTGGCTGTTTGGGGCTGTGAGGGAATGTTTATATGAGTGAGGTAGTGGGATTTTATTTCTGAGGCTCTGGAAAAATTCACTTAGTCAAAATGCCTTGCTCACTCAGCCATTCTGTTCCAGCAAAAACTAGCCAAGTGGCTGACTGTAGTAATTGCAGTAAGCATAAAATGAGAAGAGGGTGCATTCTTCTTGTCCATACTACTCACTGGTGACAACTTCCCCATCACTTTGGCCCTCAGTTTCATGTCCCTTGCTGCTAGCCCTGGGGCAGAGCCTGCTGCTGGCTCTGTGCAGCCAAGTGCTGCTCTAACAGAAGGGTCGTGGCTTTGTATGGAATATTTATCTGCTGCAGCACTGTTGGCTGTTTAACAGCAAATAAATAACATAATACCTTTTATTCTAGAAACCCACCATTGACTGCATGTCAGAGGACGGCTACAAGCTGGATAAAGTACGAGGTGAAATTGAATTTCATAATGTAACATTCCATTATCCCTCCAGACCAGACATAAAGGTAATTCATCCTCCATCCTGTGAACACAATTATTGTAAACAATCAAAAGATCCTGGTTCTGATGGCAATTTCTAGATTTTCAGTAAAGTTTGTTTTCCAGAAGCCCAGACCCTTTGTTTAAAAGTATACTGAATAATTCTTCTATTAAAGGGTTCTTCTGCTTACCATTCTGATTGTTTTACCATTCTGACATATACTTTGCCACATCAACATATTCCTTGCTGCTGAACATAAACTCCTAGTAATTTCAGACAAATCCATCTGCATACAGCTTCTCTTATAACCAATTATGCACTTGTATCAATGTGTGCTAGACTAGAACACAAAGTAATAAGCTGAATGCTACAAGGATATTTTATAAAACTCTTCTATTACCCCAGGGATGTGCCATGTGACTCATTAAAATGCTAGGAAAAGGTACAGGAGTGTTGGCTGTATACCCCATTATTTTTCTACTACTGTGTTTGAATTGACAAATTCTCCTTGGAAAACATATTATTGGACAAGCAAATGAGTGCTGTTGTTTCTAAAGACAGAAGCACATGAAGTATCAGATTTTTCTACAGAATTTCACTGTTACATTCTTAATATTTATGCTTTAACATGCATTCAAAGTACATGCACAGTGTTCTTTAAAGGGAATTTATTGCCAAGTTCTCCAGTGGTATTAATTGACTAGCTCCTAATGATGAACAACAGGAACAATGAAAGATCAAAGTCTGCCTGGCTGTTGTGTAAATGAGTGCTCTGCATTTACAAACTTTTCAAACATTGTAAAAATATGTGGCTTTCTTCATCCTCTTTCTTCATAATACTTTTCTGAATTTTGTAAAATTGATTTGAATCTCCATTTTAAGATGCAGAATAGACTCCCTTGGTTGTATAACTGTGAGAGAATGAGAATGAATAGATTCTGTTTTGGGTTTTTTTTCCTCTCCAGATTTTGGATAACCTTAATATGGTTATTAAAGCAGGGGAGACAACAGCTTTTGTTGGAGCTAGTGGAGCTGGAAAAAGTACAACAATACAGCTCATCCAGCGTTTCTATGACCCCACTGATGGCATGGTGAGTGTAGCAGCCTAGAATGTGATCCTCTAGCCTTAGCAACTTGAAAGAATGGCATGCTTTCTTCTCCAAGGTAGGAAGGAAGGCTCCTAATGTTTTTCTTTACCCTTCCCCTTCCCTTCTCCATCCTGGAAAACACAGTGTTGATATGAAAATATTAACCCATAATGATGCTTTAGTATATGCAATTACTATTTAGTAATGGCTTGGCTAACAATATTAGTTATGTCTATCAACAATCCATTCCATTTATGTGTTCCTATATCAAATAGAAACACATAATCACATACACGTTGACCTGTATTTGCATGTGTAAAAGACAAAGAACCAATTTATTGTAAACATAATTTTCATGATTAATTTTCACCTGGCTTTATTTCTGAGGCCAAGCAAAAAGAGGTATTGGGAAATGAAATCAAAGAGCACAACTCCTAGAGGTCATACTACTGCCACTGCATTGCATTCTTCTATGAAAACTTAGTGCTGCTTTCTACATTAGTCATGGAAACACAGCACCATGGGCCCTTCATTTCCATTGAGTCTTTCTTTCTCTCTGAACTGGAGGGGATAATGTCCCTGACTTTTTTTCCTTTATTCAGTGTCCATGTTCTAATTGGCTTCTGTAGATTACCCTGGATGGCCATGACATTCGTTCCCTGAATATCCAGTGGCTACGCTCACAGATTGGTATTGTTGAACAAGAGCCAGTGCTGTTTGCCACCACGATTGCAGAGAACATACGCTATGGTCGGGATGAGGCTACCATGGAAGACATAATCAGAGCAGCCAAACAGGCCAATGCTTACAATTTCATCATGGACTTACCACAGGTATGCTCTGCCCTGTAAAGTGTTTGGCAGAATTTGATGAACAAATAGATAATCCTTTTGTTCCTACCCTCCTGCAGCAATCTGGGCAGAAGATTAATATAGATAGTAGGCAGCAACCTTTCCTTTGACTACAGCTCATTAGGTCTTAGTACATTTATGTCACCAAGTTAAAAAAACAAACAAACAAACAAAAAAGCCCCCAGAAACCAACCCCAAGGAGAATTAGTTCCTTGGGAGTCATATGCACAACATTCAATATCATGGTAATAATCATAGCATGATTTAAAAATATGCATTTTTCATGCTAGGGCTGTTTCTGCTCAGGCCAAAAGCAATGTAGAACCCAGCTTCTCACTAGCCAGTATATGTTATTTGAGCAGCCTGTATTGATCCTCACAACCTCATTTCCTTGTACAGGCCATGTAAGCTAGCTGGAGGTTCTCTATTCTCCAGTTCCTTCCTTTATGATGACAGGGCTTCAGTCATTCCTCCTAAGAAAGCCTGTATTGGATAGTATGGAGCTGTCTACTTTTCTAGAATGTTATTTTGCTAAGTAGCTTCTGAAAACAACATGTTACAACAGTGAATGTCATTGACAGGATTCAAGCACCATTAACTAATGTCAGTATATACTTTTTATCCTCCATCTATGCATTTCCAGGCTTCCAGGAAACCATTCAAAGAATGGCTGGATAAAGGCCCATGTTTGTTTCCTAGAAATGGAGGAATAAAAAAGATTTGACTCTAGATTACTATAGTTCTCCTGTCTCTCAATATGGTGGGCTTCATGTGTTTATTTAATTCTCTACCTGAACCCAATCTCACCAGAGTATGATAGCCATGAATTACAGACACAATGTTCATGAGTCACAGGCCATCAGCAGACAATCCCAGCTCCGTGAAAAGTTTTCATGTGAATCATCTGATAGAGAGTGGGTGGGTGACTCCTCTCCATTTCAGCTTTTGCTGATATAGTAATTTTGAGCCAAACAAGAACATTTCACCTTTTTACCAGGAAATACTCTTGACTTGGGGTTGGAAACTCAGTTCAGGCAAAATGATTATATATTATGAGGAACACTGCTTCAGCTGCCCTTTGAATCTGTGGCACTAACAATGTTTTTGTCTTTCAAATACAGTGATTTTTTTAAGGGTACTGCTAGGACAAATCCGAGAGCTATTTTACCAATGTCTTCACCAGAAGCTTAACTGACTTTTCTTATCTGCTTCGTTTTCACTTTTTTCCTTCATGCAGAAATTTGACACTCATGTTGGAGAGGGTGGAAGCCAGATGAGTGGAGGTCAAAAACAGAGGATAGCTATTGCTCGAGCTTTGGTGCGAAACCCCAAAATCCTGCTACTGGATATGGCTACATCAGCACTTGATAATGAAAGTGAAGCTATCGTCCAAGAAGCACTTCATCAGGTTTGCTATAGTATAGCAAAAATCAAAATTGAAAGGGCAGAAATTATTTTTAATGCACTCTGCAGAGGACTTTGCTGAATTGCAACAGATCAGTGAGAAGATTTTCTTAATAACAGTTTCATATGCACAAGTAAAACTTTAGTATTATTAACAGAGAATAATTTTTTTCTTACATTGAGACATTAACAGAAATCTATAGTTCCCTTTGCTCAGAAACAGATGCTCCTCTCTGGGCTATGGATGGAGCTAAAGTCAAAGCCAGCTAAAACCACTAGAAAGACTCCTGTTAATTTGATCAGACTTTAAGATTACATAGCACTTGTTCAAAGCATTTCTGTGTGCTGTCCTGGGAACGGGGATATGGGAATGTTGTCCTGCATCTGGGCCATGGCAATCCCAGGCACACCTACAGGTTGGGTGGGGAAGTCATTGAGACCAGCAATGAGGAGAGAGGCTTGGGCGTGATGGTAGATGGGAAACTCAGCATGATCTGGCAGTGTGCACTAGCAGCCCAGAAAGCCAATCTGGGCTGCATCAAAAGGAGAGTGGTCAGCAGATCAAAGGAGGTGATTCTCCCCCTCTACTCTGCTCTTGTGAGATCCCACCTGAAATACTGCATGCAGTTCTGGTGTCTTCAACATAAGAAGGACATGGAACTCTTGGAGCAAGTCCAGAGGAGGCCATGAAGTTGCTAAGAGGACTGGAGCTTCTACCTTATGAAGACAAGCTGAGGGAGTTGGGGCTGTTCAGCCTGGAGAAGGTTGCATGGAGACCTCATAGCAGCCTATCAGTATCTGAAGGGGCTAAAGGGGAGCTGCAGAGGGACTCTTCGTTAGGAACTGCAGTGAAAGGACAAGGGGTAACAGGTTCAAATTGAAGCAGGGGAAATTTAGGCTAGATATTAGGAAAACGTTTTTTACTATGAGGGTGGTGAGACACTGGCACAGGTTGCCCAGGGAAGTAGTGGCTGCCTCAACCCTGGCAGTGTTCAAAGCCGGGCTGAATGAGGCCTTGAGCAACCTGGTCTAGTGGGGAGGTGTCCCTGCCCATGGCAGGGGGTTGGGACTGGATGATGTGTAAGGTCCATTTGAACCCCTAAAATTCTATGACTCTATGATTCTGCTGTTTCCTGTCAGGCTCGCCTTGGTCGCACAGCGATCTCGATAGCTCACCGCCTGTCAGCCATCAAAGCTGCCGATGTCATCATTGGGTTTGAGCATGGAAGGGCTGTAGAGAGAGGAACTCATGAGGAACTCTTGCAGAGGAAGGGGGTTTATTTCACGTTGGTGACCTTGCAAAGCAAAGGGGAGACAGCAGCTAATAGAGAAGCAACCAAAAGTAAGTGTTTTGTTTTCTTTTATAAAATTATGTAAAATTCCACAGAATGCAGATTTTTTTAAACTTTCATTTTAATAAGTTTCTTTTGTTGTTTCTTTTTTTCATCTGCTTTTATGGCTGAATTTTATCATTTATAGAAATAATAAATTAATAGCCCTGGTCAAAGTGCTTTTGCTGCATAGGTACTGAATGACCTTCCCAATATAGATCTGCCCTGAAACATTAGTCCTGACCTGCAATACTTGTCATTTTATAGCTCTGCTGAGTGCCAACAGTTCAGTCCTGCTACATTTGTAATTCAAACAAATTACAGAGTGTGTTCAAACCACCTTATTTGTTTTGCTGTAGGCAGATTTGAGTCAAAGCTTCTGCAAATTGACATCTAATTGAATGATCTGTTGTATTTTTGTGAAGCATCATACATTGGATATGGTTATCTTAAAATAAGAGAGCAATTACAGAGCTAAGATAGGGACAAAGCCTTTAACTGCCACATCCCAAGTGAGACCATCCTTGGGCTAATATTCAGTTAAACTGATCATGTGAAATACAAATATAAAACTTGTGGTACATGTAGGTTGAGTAGCAAGGTTGTATTACAGTCCTTGCCTTCTACAAAGTATTCCATTTATGACTTGGAGACTGTGCATGTTTTTGCAGAGCCACAGTGAACTTAGGTTTTGTTATATTTTAGCACTAACCAAAGAGGTCTATATACTATATTTTGCAGCAGCAGAGAATAATGTGGTTGAGCCAAATCTTGAGAAAGTCCAGTCGTTCAAGAGAGGAAGCTATCGGGCCAGCTTGCGGTGAGTCTAAAAAATGGTTGTAAATCTCAATGTTTCCAGATCTCTATACTTCTAGTCCCACTATTCCAAATCCCAACAGTGCTAATAAATCAGTTTTCTGTATGTTGTGTAGAAGAGGGTTGAATGGCTGCAAATGTTCTACTAAGATAGCGTTCACTTGGAAAGAAATAGTTTGAGTAATAATGTAACTGATTGAAGGCCCATGGATAAATTGCAAGGCTCTTGATTTTGCTTCTCTTTCTATCCATAGTAGCTTCTCTCCAGTTTTGATCTACTGTGTTAATGTTCCATTTTTAATATTACTAACATACAGCCATATATTTGTAATATCTAATGTACTTTCAGTCCAATCACTTGAAAAATTACTTGCTGTGCAATTACTTGAGAAATCAATACAATCTATAAGGACATTTCTATTATGGCTCTACTTGATGAAAGTTAAAGCATTTTGCAAGCCAGACTGTCTTGCAGCTAGACATTTATTATTTCTTTCAGGCAAGCCTATGTCAGACATATGCAAATGAATACATCTCCTACATTACAGGGTTATGTTTTGCCAGGGATAGAGATTGGTTGTCTTAGCATCCTCTTTTGCTGGACTGAACTACTGATAGCTCTAACAGTGATTTGACTTGTGCAAATAGAGTAGGATAAACCCCAATTTTACTTAACAACTACACAGTGCAAGGTACATTTAAGACAATGTCTGACTGGTGTGAGTGGAATATGATTTTGAGAAATATTTGTACCCGTTGTGAGATATTTTCTTCTCAAGAAGTTGAAAGAACATAGAAAAGAAAGAAAAAGTCTGTGGGATTCCTATGAATTGCTTCAGTGTGTCCTGATTTAGCAGATATGAAAACTGTGCCTGCTTTGCAAGCAAGTATTGTGTTACTGAGCTGTGAAGAACAGACCATTTCTGTCCTCTTACAGAGCTTCACTTCGGCAGCGCTCGAGATCGCAGCTCTCTAATGTGGTCCCTGACCCTCCGTTATCTATTGGAGGAGATCATGCAGAGTCTACGTATGTTACACCTTCTCATGGAGAAGATGATGGAAAAGCAGAACAGGTCAGGTCCAACAGTTTGTTAGGAAATTTTCAACCAAGCAGGTTGTTTTACTTGTGGATATGTGCCTACCTTGTAGGAGTTGGTGGCAGGTGCATCTCTTTGCCTTGATCCTTTTCTCTACTTAAACAAAACCAGTTTCAATTCTTATCTCTGTGTCAACCCTAGACTGCATTTTGATGTCTGTTATGCTTATTGGCCCATATAAAATTTCTAGCAGAGCATAACCTGTTGGTAAATTGATATAAGTTGTAGATTTAGTTGAAAAAGACATATTCATAAAAGCTGAATTAACTGACAAAAAGCACATTGCTCGGTCTGTGAAACGTAATAGCCACTCAGTGCTAAAAATTACTCGGCTTCTTGTTCAATAAAGACTAAATTCATTTTCATCTCAAAGTCATCTGGAGACTTGGGCAGAGAGGCACCCTCACTGCAAAGTAACCCAGAGTCCTTTTGTTGTCAGTGTCCTTGCGCAATCAACTGGGATAGAAAATAAAGACAGCATGCCTTAAAATTGTGCAGAATATTTAGGAACATACACTGTAGGTTTCCAAAGTGCTTATGAGCTCCCTGTACCAATTTGCATGTCTTGATTGTTTAGTACAGAGAGCAGCAGTTAGAAGTCACTGTTCTTTCTATTGCTAAGCCTATTCTATGAATAAATAGAGGGCTTTACTGCTGCCACTCTGGCACTATCTCAGAAGGAAGAGAAAATACAAGTTGCTTCCACCCACTCATCCTTGCGTATTTCCAATAGATAGGTCTTCACAGTGTCTCTTTTGTCTGGGCATTTCTAGTCACATGAACTGAGGGAGATGAGCAGGGCTTAGCACACTAAGGGTTGCAAAAATTCTGCACAAATCAAACTGCAAGGATAAGTTATAATTTGATGATGAATATTCTGCTCTTACTGGGCATAATTATGGGAATTCAGCATATAGACTGAGGATGTTTCAGAGAAGGGAGGCACAATTAGCAGGTATAAAGCCTGAATCTAGCTATCACTCTGAGATCTCTTTTGGTTTAATTATATAACATACCTGTTAATTTGATGCAGAGTCCAATCAGTGTATTCACCCACAAGACTCAGAAATAATATTTAAGATTCAATGAGTGACACAAAAAGCTGCTTGTGAGGAAGAAGTTTAAGTTTTGGCACTGAGGATTTCATCACACCTCATCTGGAGGCAGTTAAAAGGGAACAGCCTGAGTTTCAGTGGCAGAAAATCTTGAAGTGATTGTAATTAACCTCTGCAGCTGGAATCATTAGAGCTGCACCTCTCTCTCTTTTCCTCCAGGGACAGTAAAGGTAACTTTTATTTATGTAACCCTCTTATTAGACCTACAGAAGATCTCTAGGCAGCAGCTGCCTTTGCCTGCCCCTGCACAAAGCTAGACTAGCTATTTGGGCACAAAATGGTAATTTAACAAACCAGGCTAAATGTTTTATCTCTCTGTCAAAGGGAAAACATTATTGGGGGAATGCATTCACTTCATAAATCCAACCTGGCTTTTTTTCTAGGAACCTGCTGTGGAGGAAGATGCCAAGCCTGTACCATTTAGCAGAATTTTGAAATACAATGCCTCTGAATGGCCATACCTGGTGCTTGGATCTCTGGCAGCAGCTATGAACGGAGCAGTCAATCCACTCTATGCTTTGTTATTCAGTGAGATTCTTGGGGTATGTTATGGTAACATTTAAAAATGTATTTTAGCTCTGAAGCAGAGGAGAGTGAATGTATGATGCACAACTTGACATGTTTTGGGAAAATCTTTAGATCTCGTCAAGTAAATGGGGTTAGCCTTCTTGAATATAAACAATTATTTGGTACAGATATCACTTTCATCACACTATCATTAGAGCTCTTTGAAGAGGTAGGCTCATCAGCATTTGTCATGTGTTCATCATCTCTCTTGTTCACTTTTCAGGAACTTGTTGCAAGTGAGTTTCTGTACTTGCATACAGTTCATTCTAGATGAGAAAACATGTACCTCACATGCAGGTACAGTGGAGAGACACACATGCAGAGGTCCTTCCCTGCAGAATTTTATTCCACAAATTTGATCAAGCCTTTGAGAAAGCTTTGGATATGATCTGAAAAATACTTCACTTTTTTTTGTTTATATATTTCAGGCAGCTCTTTTGCCTGCTCCCTGCAGAATTCCCAGGGAGAAGTAAATAATTGTAACAGGGTTCATAGCTGCCAGCAAAGAGCAGACTTGCATCAACAAGCCTGGAAGACAAGCAGGAAATACAAATATGCTTTTAAACCTTGACATTCACTAAAGGATGCAATGGCATCAAAATCCACAGCCTTCTGCAACTTGTTGAGTTTAGCCATGACTGTTTATTCCTTCAGAAATTTGCTGTGATAGAATAAGGATGCTTCCCCTTTTGTATAACAGCTTTCTGTGAAAACATTTGACAAGTTAGTGGTAAACTGGAGGGCTGCCTGAAGATATTCAGTGCTGCTCTAACTATTGCGTCGGAGTGTCCTAAATTTTCAAGAATTAGGCTGCAGAAAACTTGTCTGTTGATGCTGATTCTCACTGGATAAAGTAATTGACACATTCCCTGGGAAAAAAATGAGAATGCCGTTGTGTTTTGTGGCTTGGGTTCCCAGCTGAGGTAGGATAAAACTTGTGTTTCCACATACTTGTTTAGGTCATGGTAGGCACATATGTGTGCAAATAATATATGACCTAAAATACAGACAGTCTCCTAGATACTGGAG